GTCACGTAGCATTAAACATTCTGTTTGCTTCAGAAACTTTTCTTTTCTTGGATTTATCCCACCTACCATGGGTTGAAAAAGCTCAATAAATCATGCTGCTGGTGTAGGACCTGGTAAATTCAGGCTGCCAGATCTGTGCTGGGTGTTGCACATCGGCAGCTTTGGCGATTTTGAGCAGCAAAAATATATATATAAAAAAATACATTGTAATTAAATACTCATTATTTATTTTCCAAAGTCACAGGGAGCTGCAACAAAAGGATGAATGGCTCTGGAGCTGCAGGTTGCCGACCCCGGCCTACAATGTTCCACAGGGAAGTATTAAACTCATCGATGTCCGCGAAGATAAGCAGAAATAAAAGTAGGCCTAGATACAAGTCAGATCTTTGGAGAGGCGCCTCAGTGTATATCTGTTTTTCATAATATTTTTAACAAATAAAAACACCTGTAATGGAATAAATGTGAAATAGACAAGTTTAATACTGCACTATGGAACATTCCAGGCAAAACAATCACATCCCCATCGAGACAAGCAGGTGGTGGACCTTCTATCAGAAAAAGTTACACAGTGCACCTTTACAACTCAAGCAGAGGCTGATATTTTGTCTTGGTCAACCTGCTGCCTTAAGAATACATACAAAGCTTTGGTTCACTTTAGTGCAAAGAGATCACAGCACAAACCGTGACTACACAGCTCTCTTATAGGTTTGTGGTTTTAAAAAAAAAAAAAAAAAAAAAAAAAGATGTGTGTGAGTTTGACGTAATATAAAATAACTTGTCTGGAGAAAATAATCACACATCATACATCCATATTGGTCAATCTGTAATATACATGCAGTAACACGCTAGAGCCATGGGGTAATTTCCATTTGTTGTCTCACTCACTCTCACCAACACACTCTCATTCATACACAGCAGCAGTCGCCCAGTCCACGACAAACCCTGCTCAGCGTCCGAGATCAGACGAGATTGTGCCTTCTTAAGGTGCAAAAACAAGTTTTATACAAATGTTCAGTTTTCTTTTTTTCACTCTATTTGTCCATTAAAGAAGCGCTATTTTACTTCTATTAGGTACTAACTGCTAACACATAACATTTAGATCACCACATTACCTTTAATGTTGCTATGTTTTCACTTTCACTTTTTTGACAATGTGAGTTAGATGGTAGAAACTTAAGAGAAAAAAAAAACAAAAAAAAAAACATTTATTTTACCTAATATCCCCTTTTGAATATACACTGTCCCATTCAAACACAGCTGTATGTAAAATTATTTTTCATTGCCCCCCTCTGTGTAATTTTAATGATTGTGTGGTCAACTGGCTACCAAACTACGGCAAAAATGATTACAGTATTTTTCGCACTTTTTTTCATGGTTTGGGTGGTGTGACAACAGCTACACAGAAGAGGAAGCAGCTCTCAGTTTACTTCCAGAGGTCGGAATTGCTCAGAAGTGACACCAAGGATGAATAATTAAATGGATTTAGTGATTTGGGGTGAGATGAAGAGTTTGGTAAACTTGTTCTGTTGTTTATGCTATAGTTATGTGAAGAACTGTTCATACGTGACATTAACAGTCTGTTGTTCTCTAGTCTATTGTTATTACTGTACCTTACCTTTCAAGATGAAATGTCAATTCCTGGTCTCTGATTTTATAAAATAAATTTCCCCCAAAAAGTGGGATTTATAGTCTGGTGCAACTTATATATATTTTTTTTTTCATTACTCATTTTTTGGCTGGTGTGACTTATACTCCAGAGAGACTTATAGTCTGAAAAATACGGTAGATGAAAGTTACAATACTTTACTTTTGAGGTCTATGCAACATTTCAATGTATGTAGCAAAAAGGCCATACTACAGTAATTACTCATAATTTCCAAACTATTGAATGCACCTGAATATTAGCTGCATCAACTAAAATTTTAAAAGAAAAAAAAAGTACATATATAAGTTTATAGGGATGTAACACTAACCAAAATATCGTGATATCGTATCATCAAAAATAATATCGTGGACCATCACAATATATCAAATTGCAAGCCTCTTTGCTTAAATTAAGAGTTATGGTTCAGCAATAGTTAAAAAAGACAAAGGGAACTACATAGACCATGATCCTTTGCTCCATTTCAGTGTAGACTACAAGAAGAAATAACAGTTCTAAGCACTTTTAAAATCTTAGTTCTTTGGATTAAGTCTTGTCAAAGCAGGAAAAAGTAGCATATTAACAGTTTTGTTAGCCTCCACAAAATATCACAATAAATATCGTACCGTGAGATGTGTATCGTGAAAATATTGTACCAAGAGATATGGATATTGTTACATTCCTGTACAGACAGCGGCGCTTTCTACACTCAGGCTGCGTACACATCCGCTGTGTTGATAAACAAATAATCCATCTATAAATTAGCCGCATCATTGTTTAAGCTGCAGGGTTCAAAGTGGGTGAAAAAGTAGCGGGTTTTACGGAAATTAAGGTATGTTAAAATGGATTGCATGCGTCCTGAGCAGCAAAACTAACCCCTATGTACATATGCACCTTCATAAAAATACATTTTCAATATTACAAAGTGAAACCACAATTACAATTACTTTGTTCCGTCCAATGCACTGGAGCGACTTCTACACAACCATTTCATCATGTTCACCCAAGTGAGCACGTCCTTTTCCTCTCATGGTAAGAACGAAAAAAATATATACTTTCAAGCCCGAGGCGGTAAAGACAGGTGATTAGCACTCCACTCCATCTTAGCTCCCTCCATCATAACGGCACAGACCCGAGTACAATTGGTACCTGCTAAAGCCTGATAGATGTGGCTGCTACTTCGCGTACTTTCAGACGGCCCAATAGTCAGTTTTTTTTCACTTCGGAGTCCATTAAGTACAGCACAAAATGTCTAGGCTTTACATTATACTTGCGCGCTGCTGCTTTCAGATTGATTTGGTGCCTTCCGGGTAGCCACCTGTTCCGTCTCATTTCAATGCGTCGGAAAAATCAACTCACAGAGACTTAAAACCGCGCTAAAAACGGTGATCCATCAAAATGAGCACCCACTTACTTTTTTTCTTTCTTTCTTTTTTTTTTTTTTAAGCGTTGTGTTTTGTGTCACTGCTGGAATGTAATGAAAAACTGATACGATGTTTGGAGACACAGACAAATTTGTTGAAAGAATAATTTCAACAGCCACAGGAGGATAATTGTGATTTTATAATGTGTTTAGAAATACTGTTCTGCTTGAAGATGTCTCGAAAATTTGTTGATATCATCCATTAAACACAGAGCACTGGAGTGATTTGATTACCAACAACAAAAAATCACAAATTGAACTTTCAGATAACAGAAAATTGGACTTTCAGGTATCCAAGAAGGAAACACAAAGGCATTGAGGTGATATTAAAGCTGCCACTTGCTTGTTTACATGGAGATGTTTTGTTTTGTTTTTTTTAAATCTCCATGGAAACAAACGTTCTACATTATGGCATTAAACTTATTCGCAATGGAGACAAATAGGCCACCAGGGCAAACTGCAAGTCAGATCTGAGGAGAGGAGTGCCCACTCACAGTAATAATGCATATTTTATAATGCATAATTATTTGTGTTGGCAATAAAAACACCTCTAATCGATAGAATATAAGCTAGCCCAAGTTATAATACCTCCATGGAGAGAAGCAGGTTATGAATCGCTCAGTCATTAAAGTTACACTTTAAATATAATTAGAGGCAAGCACGTAGCATGCGATTTTACTGGTTTTAAAATGACTGAAGAATTACTGATAAAAAATAATGAACACTGTTCATTTTCTAATTTTCTAATTCTGCTATTTGAAATGACTAGTGGTACATATGAGATTGGTGTTAGTGTTTCCAGCTCATTCTTGTTATCTTGGCCTGCGTCCTCACAGGTATAATACTCCCTACAAAGGAAGCATAGCCAGACTGGACTGGACTAGAATGGACAACACTAGGTGCTGTACTGATGTAAATCAACTTCTCCTGCGTTACAACTCCAGTTTCATTTATTTTCCATTCAACTCTCAAGCTATTATTGTTTATTCTACAACAGCTTTTGCTCTAAACTTTGTTTAAAATATCCCTCTATTCATATTTAGTAAAAAATTTAAAAATTTCTGTGATATAGTATTAGTAGTAAAAACTATATTACCCCAAGCCTGTGTGCAAGTTACTGTACCATTAATAATGTAAAAAATATGAATAAATAAAAGAGATTCCCGGGGGGGTGAAGCTAACTAAAAGCACTATTCTGTTAGAATCTCTGTTACGCAAGTTAAATAATCTGAGCTTTATTTTAGCACAGTTTCACTAGAAAGAGCTGATTTAGCTGGAACTACAAAGGCTAAGATGATTTGTTGCACACATAACATCTCAGCTGCTGCAGTCATAAACTAGCTAGAATAAGCCAACAGTTTTTCACTTTTGCAGTTAGTCTCTCACCTTTTTTGTTGAAAATCAAACACCTAAACAGGACCATGAACGTTCATATTAATCACAGGCTCCAGAAAATGTTTAAATCCATTTTGTATTTTTTTGAGTTTTCAGACTATCATAACACTTTTTGTCTGCGTTTGATAATGTGTGGATTGTGTCACCATGTTAACTGCTGAACATCCCGCCAGTAGAAACACACGTAGAGTGCCCCCAGCATAATGTCACTGCAAAGTTTCAATATGTGCAAATGTAAATAAGAAAACCCTCCAATCTCCAAGCTTCACTGACTCTCTACTTAATAGCCGCCTGCAAGAAAACACTTTTGGTCTTACCATTTAAACCAAATACAAAATGGACTATAATTAAGGTTATAACAATCGACATAATTAGTGTATAGATTTCTATTGCAAATGGCTGTGAAGGGAGGAGAGGTGAGTGAGTTCATCTGAAAAGGTTAAAGCTCCTATAGTGTGCGTCACATTTAAATGAGACATGGTTATACAAAGCAGCCCCTGAAATCAAAGGATGTCAAGAGGTTAAAACGCATGTTCTTACCTCCACAGTGAGCCAGTCCGTAGAGCACGTATCCTTTATTACAGAGACACTGAAAACTCCCCGCTGAGTTTACACAGAAGTGGTCACAGGCTCGGTCGAATGAACACTCGTCAATGTCTGGAAAGAAAGAAAAACATATTATAAAACTGAACAATAGACACTTTCCACACAATCCTCTTCTTTCTATATCCATTTTATTTTGAGTACCAGTTGTTGTGCGTTGAAATCACATGTCACAACAACTACTTCAGAAAAGATTCGGACCAATTCTGTCTGCTGCTGTCATAGTTGACCTTCAGAGCTGCTGGGGCAGGTTTTCCATTCCGACGTTCCGAAATTGGAAAAGTATTTTGGAAATAACAAGCGGAAACAGGCAGCGTCAACAGTGTAGTGATTGCTTGACTTTATAATAGAACTGTGAAGTTGACAATCTTTGGTCCTCTTTCCTCAGCCCAGTATTCTTCGAGTGTTAAAGGGGACTTACTATGCAAAATTGATTTTTAACTTTCAGCCGTGCTATAATGGTTTTCCCTCATAAGTAAGCTAACTCAGAGTTTTATTTAGAGTCATTCTTGCACGTTTCAAAAATCTGGTATTGTTCTGCATTTGGGGCATAAGTGCTCAGAAAAGCACTGTTGGACCGACCAGGGCCAAATAATGAGCTCTGTGTTTACACCACAAAGTCAATAGTCATTTTAGGCTAATTGCAATTTATAATAACAAAATGTAAAACTGTCATCTAAATTATAGCCAGGCGATACAGCCTAAAATAAAATCTGTATTTTTGGGGGTATATTTAGGATATTGTAAACTTCCTTTAATTACATTTGTATAGATATGTAATCAAATTTTAATAACTTAAATGGAACAATTTCTTCAAAATCTCATTAATTGCCCAGCTAAATTATGTAATAGTTTATTTTTGATGATGTCATAATCTCAGTTGGTGGGCAAGGGCCTATGTAACTCTGTGGAAGATTCATTGTTTTTGAAAGAAATATCCAAAAAAGAAATCCACAAATGTTGCACTGAATCATTATTTGTTAGGGATTGGGTTCACAAACCAAGTCCTTTCAACTGACAAAAATCAACCCTTTGCATTTGAATAATGGCATCCCTTTCTGAGGCATTTTGAGAAATGTATGTCCCTTTTGTTAGTCTGTGACATAGAGCTTTCATGTGTATATTACAGAGGTATTAACCATCAACCAGGTCTACAAATGTGTCATTTGTCTCTACTGTAGATGTTTTGAAAGGAATGTTCCATATCATCACATTAAATTATGTGTCTTGCATTTCCACAATGCATTTATTTACTGTTCAAAAGTCCCTTGAAGACTGCATTGTTATCGTGAGTGGGGTTGCCTCTCCACAGATCTGACCTGTAACTAGGCCTGGCATCATCACCATCTTGTCTCCATGCAGATGGTTGAGATTAATGCCGTACTGTGCAACATTCTAGGCAAAACGATAACATTTCCATGGGGGACAAGCAGGTATTACAAAACTATCTCTAAACCAAATCGCTAAACCTTGATGTTTAGATATGTAGAATGCCCTGTCCACCTTATGATGTCATGAATTGACAGTTTAAGTTAACAGCTGCCTTTTATTGTTAGCTCAATACAAATTAGCAATCCCAGGGTTGAAATCATCCAAATGATTCCTAGTGAAGGTGTATGGAGTTTAAAAACACAGTGGAGCACTTCCTCTATTGCCACATGACATCACAAGGTCAAACAGAGTGTTTACTGTTTGAGAGAAGACCCCAGCCTAAATATACAGAGTTTGTGTGATAAACATTTGCAAATGAAACAAAAAAAACTCCAGGTATGTTTTTGATGAGTAACATTACAACATGGATCAGAAAATAGCATAATGTGGGCCCTTTAGTGATGCTGTAGTTTGAAAGCACTTGGTGATGAACAGAAGTATGTGTCAAGTCAGGGCAGAGGCTGAGATGAGCTGCTCGTGTGAGAATGTCTCTTTGGCTCATTACACAAAGAAATGGGACTTTTATCTGCTGTGTGCTTATGAGGCAGAGCCAGACGCTATCAAACATATTCAGGTATTTTACAGCAATTAAAAAGAGCTCACTTCAAACCAAGCAAGATTAAAGAATGAGAAGAACCCAAGTCATGCAAAAAGTCTGAATTGAACTTTAGGACTGTGGATCAAGACAATGTGATAAAAGTACACACATTTTGAGCTTTGGAGATGTAGATGGATTAATAATAAAAGATGACTCAGTCATGTATGAAAGAAACAACAAAACTCTAGGTATGTTTTCGGGGTAACAACATTATAACATGGCTTAAAGGTCACAAGAATCCATTTATCCATCCATCCTTTAACCACAGGCTGGTAGTAATAAATAATGAGGATTCAGTTACATTTACTTGAGCAACATTTTAAAGAATATTTTTGACACTAAGTCTTGCCTTGCCTTGTCTTACTTAAGCTTTCTTAGTTTGAGGTATTAATAAAATTACCTGGGAGCTACTCTATGCTATTAGCCTAATTTATCAGCTGGTTTCACTTCGCAGAAACCATCTGACCTCACAGTGTTAGAATTCGTTTGCTCAAAGGTAGGCGGGTACTTTTTTAAATGTAATCAATTGCTGCTATTTGCATCAATCAATTAAGCTTTTCCCAAATCCCATAGGAAGAAGGACAATAATGTCTTTCCCCTTGATAAAATTCACCAAATATTCTCTTTGTTCCGGCTTTAAATCCTTGATCTCGGGAATCGTTGCCAACACAGAATGTATGGCTCTTCACTGATTGGCTGGTGCCTGAAGTCGCACTTCTGGGGTTTTTGAGAACTGTCTAGTGTATTCCGATACCTGACCTAGTCGCTGGAGAGAAATGAAATAGAGGGAAGGCACTAGGTGGCACCACCTGGCTACTATGTTATACTCCTCTATGAGCAATGCTAAAGTGCAACTGTAGCATGTTGACCTATATGTAGTAGTTTGTTATACCTTATATCAAGAGTCTCTGAAAATACCATCATATTCACATTATTTGTCTGATTGCATCAACATGATCATTGCTGGTCAAATCTGTGGAGAGGAGAGCCCTCTCAGAGACAGAATGCATGTTTTTTGAGGTGGAAAATGGAGACCTAGCAGACCAGGGCTGAAATCATCCATATGATTCTACTGAAGGTGCATAGAATTTAAAAACACAGTGGAGCACTTCACTGGAACAGAGGGTTGTCTGCTTGAGAGAAGAACACAGTGTAAATATGCAGGATTTGTGTGTTACACACGTGTAAATGAAACAAAACAACTCTAGATATGTTTTTTGATGAGAAAACATTATAACATGGCTCAGAAAAAGCGTAATATGAAAAACAAATAATCAATTCCATTTTAAAACTAGTTAGAATTTGCACTGACAATTCAGCACTACATTTTTATAATACAATTATCTTAAGCCCAATTGCATCAACAGAGGCTCAGTGGAAGAGCACTGACCCACTAACCAGACGGTCCCAGATCTAATCTCTGCTCCGCTCAGTATATCATGTTGTTGTGAATGCTAACTGTAACACTCTTGTTACCACTCCAACTGTACTTTAAATAATTTGGACCAGAAGATTCGACTACTAACAGGAGCAGTGATGTAAATGAGACTCAGACAAAGGTTTAAAAGCTTTAAATGCTGGCTTGTATTATAGAAAAATAAAATAAAATGAATTGTTTGCACAGAATTATCTCTTTTTGGTACCAACACTTCTCATTGACAACTTTCTTTACAATCACAGTAGTCAACAGTTCTTACCTGGGTGCACCCTTTCAAATTTACATTCAATTTAAGTTCAACAAAAATATCTGGTTCGGTTCAAATTCGATTGACATTACATTCATGAAACAAATCAAACAACAAACCCTTTTGTGGAAGAATGACTCTACCCCACCCCAAGTTCACTTCCTGCATGTAGATATGTGTACAGTCCGCAAAAGTCCTTTTGAATTTCAGGTAAGTTTTAACGTCCAATGTTCCAGGGGAATGTGTGCAAGGAAGGAGCAGCAAATGACAAGGCGTGGAAGGGTATGTTCCTGTGGGGCCTACCACACTGCACCGTGCAGTAGATGATCGACTCAACCAGTTTATCCAAGGGGTGGCTCGCCATCAACGACAGGTCCGCCTAACAAAAACCTGACCTGTCGGACACAGTGTCATAAAATACTATAAGTGTAAAATAAAACTATTCTCACAATCTGTTCTGATTGTAACTTTTTGCTTGTAACATTACCTATGTTCACAAGTAGGAATAAAATCATGAAATTCGTGTATTACTGTCTAATACATTCTCAAATCAACAACATGAACTGCATTAAAATTGCAGCGGAAAACAAAACATAGATTAATTCCCTATGATAATCAATGAACTTTACAATGTAAGTATCAAACCATATGCTTTTTACAATTTGACATGAACATAAACAACAAAATGCTCACCGATCTCACAGTAGTGAAAAGGCTGGAGTTCAAAATGGCACTTCCTCTCGTCTAAAACCAAAAGTGCAAAGGGTAAAAATAATGAATTCCTAACTAATATATAATTTCTTTCAAATAAATATGTGAGATATAACGTTTAACTTCAACAACTGATCATTTAAATTAACATTGTTTGTACCTGTGTTTGTTTTTTCAATCGCAGTTTTCTGCCAGTGCTCGGACTTGCTGTCTGCACGCATGTGAGGCCATAGGGTGGGACGAGTGCGCAGATAAGGACAGGTCATTGGACCAGAGCTAAATGTCAATCAGAGGGGGAGCGGTGCGCGGAGATTCCGTGCGCAGAAAAGAAGTGAGGAGCAGGGAGAAGAGCAAAACGGGGAGCGGGGAGAGGAGCAAGAAGGGGTGCAGAGAGGGGTGCACGGAGATTCCGTGCGAATGAAGCTACTACTACAACACGCAGCAGCAAGCGGACTCTTTCTTTGCATTGAAAATGACGTTTTCAGACATAGGATATCGCATTCGTGTCCTGAAAAACGTTTGACTAGCTCTTGGAAATAAAGTACGTTTTCATAATAAGCAGAAGTGACCTGTCCAGGAGTAATTTGGCGACCAATGCGTCAGTCTTTAGACCCTGCGTCTGCTTCAGT